TAAGTGATATAGCTTATCACTGAAAGACCAGAGGCGTATGTTGACTCCAAAATTACTTTTGTTTTGTACCCTTAACTAAAAAGCAGCAAATAATTTGGCCTTGGAATTTTTTACACAAATATATATTGCCATTACGGAGGTAACAGAGGTATTTTCACATCTACATTACAACACAGCGATAAGTTAAAACTATTTATTCATTTTCTCGATGTAAGGCTGTTTCCAATGACTTTAACAATCTTTTTGGTAGTAATTTTTCTGAAAAGCAGGAAAGGGCTACTTGTAGAACAGCACTGCTGGAAATACTACATCGTATGAGGGATAGTTTCTCTTCTAATGTTCAGAGAAGGCCTATCATGGACCTGTCAACCTGTCAATAGCTTCTTTTCAAATTTTCTTTACACTGATTATTCGTTAAAAGTGATTAGAGTTAATGCGGTACAGGCAAAGAGCATTTCCTGCTGGGAACGGTGGTTTCCTATCCCTTTCCTTTTAACTCTAATATCTATGTACAGCCCGAGTAGACATGATATATCTATTACTTATAGAAACCTTGTATTAATTTTTTAAAGCACAAAAATTGAAAAGACTATCAAAGAAGGCCACACCCTGATCCTTGTCCTCCCTCTCCCCTAGGCCATCCTGAACCCCCAGGATGGGCGTGTCCCAGTTGTACTTTTAAGAACTTGCCACTTCGTCCCGGCTGTGAGGTGTGTGGTAGTACCCGTCCTGATGACTATCAGCCTCCGCCTAATTATGTTCCTACTGATGCCGAAAAGAAATTTATAAACAATAATGATCTACAAGAACTTAATAATGTGAGATTTTAAAATAGTATACTGATATATTAGTATAATGTGTTTTAAAAATGACAACACTATGCTGCTGGCATCAGTAGTACAGCCTTTGTGACACATGCAATACACAAACTGATTATGTGTGTGTCTACCTAACAACTTCTTATATTTCAGTACACAGCCAAGAATTATCATCTCTGATACAGGCCACTACCCAAAATCAATGATTCAAGCCTGATGTCTATTTTGATACAGCCCTGACTGGCATCAATGTTGAATCATGTCTGTTGCTCTGGCTGAACCAGGGTCGTACTTTAGCATGGTTGTATTATGAATGATTATCATGATTGTATCATATTAGACTGATTGCTTTGCAGGCTGCCCAAAATCCATAATACAGGAATGTATCAGGCTGATCCTGATTGATATCAGTCATGATTCAAATTAAAACTCTTGGCTGTGTATACTATTGCATACTTCAGTATACTAAGAGGTTATGTATACACACATACATTATTCATGCACATCCACATACTCCTACAGTTTTTAGAGAACGAGAGATTGATGCAAAGACAGCAAGCAGAGAAGAACTATAAAGACTATTTGAACACTGATGCTGTACCTGTGGTACTTAATGAAGAAGAATTTGAGTGTCCTGTTTGTTTCACTGACATTGATCCTGGAGAGGGTATTAGACTGAGAGACTGTTTACACATGGTCTGCATGTAAGTCCTCTATTGTACTGCATGTACATGTACCATATGTATTTGCAGTACAGCAACAGTATACATAGTTCATGGCATTGTTTGTCAAGCCTGGATTCAGTGGATTTTGACAAAACACCCTGTACAATATTACAGGGTATGAGGTTTTTATAATAAAATGGCCTGTTTGCCGATTTTTGACTTTCCTTATAGACAAGGTTTAATAGCATAGATATACTGCCCATAAATGGGATTGGAAACTTCCGTTACTACCCATGGGTACCAGGCTGGTTGGGATCGCAATGTTCAATTCTTAGTAGACCAATGGCGAAGGCTTGTGGGACTCTAGCTACTGCATTTTAGAGTGAAATAGCCCAGTTTTACTTCTTCTTAAGAGCCTTTAGTGCACCGTGATGTTCATTTTAGTATGTGTTGCGTATTTTGTGAGAAATGGAATCCTGAGTGATCCTCCAAAAATTCAAATAGCCTAAAAAGCTCTTACTAGTGAGTATTACCTTAAATAAATGTTATGTTGCACTGAAGGCTCTTAAAAAGTATCTATATAAGCAAAAACTTGCTTGCTTCATTCTGAAATACAGCTACTAGAGTCCCACAAGTTTCTCCATAGAGCCAATGCATTTGCTAAGATTTTATCAGATTTGGTAGGGATACGCCCCAACACGCCTTGCACTTATTATCATTGAAGTTTCCAATCCTGTTTACGGGTAGTGTATCTATTTTTAGAGCCACGCTAGTGGTACCAATGGAGTCCTCTGGTCAAGGTAAGGTCCTCTAAGAAGTTTAGAAGCTCGTTTTCCGGTATAGCAAGGCTGCAAAAGCTGTGGCAGACATATTGTTTTGGGGTGAATCCTACTTAGTAACGCTACCACGTTACTAATGTACTCTTGCTATTGTAGTGCTTGTCAGCTCATGAAGCATGCTGTTTAGCTCATTTAGCATGCCTTGTGGGATACCCTGTCACTTAGGCCGCTCCAATCGAATTATTAGTTTCCCGTTTCCTGCCCGCACCCACCCGCATCATAACTTATTATTGTTATTATTTTGTCACGTGATTTGTAGCGCACATGTGCCAAGAAGAAGATGAGTTGTGTTGTTAACTGCTCTGTATTTTGCATCACAAAAAGCAAAACCATCTTTCCCTGGACTATATTAAAGGTCCCCGAGTGCGAGTTGTCGTTTGCAAGGTTCTTTGAAACGGAAATTGAGAGTAGAATCAGCGCAGCTCTACCACTCGAATTAATCTCAGCATGTGCAGGAAAAAGCAAAGACTCGATGGATGAAGTTGACTTAATGCTACAGGTACGATCAGTTATATCGTTATTCGGTCCATATATTAAGTACCGTACTGTATCAGTTGAAAATGAAGAGGTTATTTAGTGCTGCTGCATTGTCTCCTCGATCGTCACCGATCACTCAATCAACAAATCCTTCACAGCAAAATCCAAGAAACAATCATGTCATGTCCATTATTTCCAAGATCACAACTTGTCCTGGGACAGTGTACTCGATTACTTCAGCAACTAAACTTATTTCATGCCTATAACCGATGTTTTATGGTACATAGATGGACACCACGAGCAGTTCTCAAATATTCGACAGTTTTTTACTCAGTTTCAAGGCTATAACAAGCCTGAATTGATTTCATCTACTACTTAGGCTTTCTTATTAGGCTTTTTTGTTATTATTTTTGCTTTTTTAACTCTGATAAAAGTGATTAGTCTTTCAAAAAATGTCAAATTCTCATTTTTGTGAAAAATAAAATTAAAATTCAATGATAATAATATAATAATAAGATAATAACTTGGCCCGCCTCAAAAATAATATTATTCATAGTAATTGGAAACTAATAATCTAATTGGAGTGGCCTTAGCAATAATCAAGCATTATGGTGCAATGGACTTGCCTGCTGAATTCACCTGAGTGATATGTGTTACTTGTACTGTGATATTTTAAGCAATTTGAAACAAGCGTAACAGGGTAAAAAATATTCCTATAATTGATTTCACCACCTTGCAAGTACAACTTGGTCATTATTAAGACTTATAGAGGTTCTCTCTACCTTCTAATGCTTCTAGAGAAGTCTTTAGACAGTATCTCTATGTTCTCTTGCTGTTAGAAAGCTCTTAACTTTGTCCCATGTGTAAGCCGCCATTTTGTTTGCCGTGGCCACACCCACTCACGTAAAGGAGCGTGGGCGGGTGGTTGCTAAGGCTTGTTATTTCTCCAATACAACGTGTATAGAAGAAATGTAAGTGTGGACATACAAATAAATAAATATATAGATAGCGCGACGGTGAAATCAATGGGGCGTATTCATTACTCTGATTCAAATAATTAGAAATTACGGTCAATGGGACAGAAGCGCATTATTATGTGCAATGTCAATGGCGATGCGTCCAAGATAGAGACCTTGTTACCAGTTAGAGGAGCAGAGGAACTGAAAGTCACTGGGCTCAAACACTTACTTGAGTCCATAGGAAAGTCCATGTAAGAAAGAAAAGCTGGTTTATAAGAAAGGTAAGAAAACATTAATTTGTGCAATCACCT